AGTAGTAGTAGTGTAGTAGTAGTGGTGGCCGTGGTGGTGGTGGTAGTGTAACAGTAGCAATAGCCATAGTCATAGCAAAAGCAGTAGCAGCAGCAGTCGCTGTACTCGTAGGAGCACAGGGATAGTAGTACTAGCAGCAGTACTAGTAGTCCTTAGTAGTCGTCGTCCTGGACCGAGGCACTCATCGGAGCTCCATCAGGTAACGAGTACCCGCCCTGAGACCTTGGTCAGATCCAGTCCAATGCTCTTGCTGTTGTCAGGCTAAGGATTGGTGTCTTTGGCTTTACGGCAATGATTTCGGGCAGGACATGTCGTCACGACAAAAGGTTGGCACGGCTTCCATAACCGCACTACCAAAGAACTGACAACAGTAACAATCAGCTACATCAAAAATCAATGAGTGCTTATTCAATATAGGCTCAAGCTCCTGAAGGCAAGACCGAAGTCTATCTCGTTTCCACCAGGGGGCAAGGTGTCGTTCAGCTTTTGCCGTTGCTCCGAAGAATCGGTGATGCTGAGAATAATGGATCGCGACTGTTCCTCCTCTGACATCCCGCAAAACGAAGTAAAGGTGGGGGGGGGGGTGAAGGGAGAAAGTCCGGTGGTGGAATAGTGCTGGGCTTACGGAATACTACCTCTGATTTCCGGGGCACGAAGGCAACTTAACTTAGATCTTCGCAGGAGCCACGGGACATCGTGCGACACCAACAGGCCAACATAACATACTCAACATCGGAAACAACGCACATGGACAAATAATTTGTGCTTCTGATCTCCTACTGAGTGGTCCGCGTCCAAGACCCAACGCCTTATATACACTAGTGGGTGATGTCTCAACCACCTGCGTCACCTCCCACAGAATCAGTTGTGTCCCAAAGCCGAGATGTGCAGAAATGTGCTTCGATGTTGAACACCCTACAGATCTTCCGGCCCAAGGACTTGACAGACCTCCCACTGCAGAGGGTCTACTGACTTCGTCTCCTCACTCTGCTCGAAGGTAACGTCCCAAAGCGTGTCGTAGTACAGGCCGTGCTCCGGGGTCACCTCGGATGTACTTCCGCTAACCACTTCGCCCGAGTTAATGCCTGCTACCCATCGAAGAGATACTCTAAATGCTACTCCGTACCATATCAGGTACATTGGTACGTGTCCCCAACCAAGCATGCAGCATCAACTTCTGAGTACATGATTCATGCTTCTGTGACTGCGAATGGCACATGCTTGTATGCGGGTTCTTGTCATGTCGTCATGAATTAGGAAATGGCAGTGCGGTCCAGTCTCTGCGGCAAAGCGGACACCACCATTGATGTACAGTCCACGGGTGAGGGGGAAGGTGCTGCTGTTTACCCCGTAGTAAATCGCACCCTTGGTGTTGTCCCAGACATACCTGAGGCGGTCTATGACACTGCTTGATCATAAATGCTCGGTCTCTGTATTTAACTCGGTTAAGTTAACCCTGCCAGTCGCAGAGTATTGAAGCCCAAGGGACGGATGTCCGTCTTTGGAGAGCTCCACCAGATTCCCACCCTTCCTCATGACCTTTACGCGCACCCCCCGATCGTTTTCCAGAGTCCATGCAGGCACTTCCTCTGTAGTCACCTTCGTCATGTCACCGACATCGGGGAAGTCGGGGGCATAGTACAGCGTGTGCGTGCTTGTGGCCAAGGTCACTTTCTCCAGGAGGTCCTTCTTCGTGACACGATGGCGCTGGGCCAGCATGGACAGGCCCTTATCACACCCAGGGGACCTGGAGGCGGCACAGGAGGCAGAGGGAACTTCATCCTGGCGGCTGTGGCCTTCATTTACCAAGGTCAGGAGGAGCAGGAAGCAGGCACAGCCCATTTTGAAAAAGGCTCGGCACGACAAGGGAAGGGAGCTTGAGCCAGTCTGCACGGCATGTCGGGATCCCGTGCACTCACTACAACATCGAAACCACGAAGCAGATCCAGCGCGGCAGCAAATCCAAACGACTGGTCCAGATCCGCATGAGTACCAGTGAGCGTTTCAAAGAGTGCAACTTGACTTCCACGAAGACGACGCCAGGAACACGATGCACCCCGAGCTGGGAGAACCAGCATGGCACACTCGGCCGCGGCGAAGACGTGACCAATATGGAACACCGCTTTTCAGGGCTTGCGGTCTTCTGGCATTTCATAATTGACGGTGTCGTGTAGGTCTCGGGGCCTTTGTCTTAAAGTGTGACGTGGGCTTTGGGCCTGGGGTTTGGAGTTTAGGGAAATAAAGGTGTCTAGGCTTGAGAAACTCAAGGCCGCTTGCATCGACACGTTTCCTTATTCCGGGCAGATTTGTGGAGGTTTCTGGTAATACCAAGTGTAGGGTTGAGGATCTCGCGCTGTGTTATTTTGAGATTCCATGGCAACTATTGATGCCTACCCCGAACTTGCAGAAGCCGGAACTTCGCCACTGATCCTGCATGTAATCTGGGAAGACCAAAGGCTCGAAGCGAAACGCCAAGGGCAACTTCACGCCATTCGCTTCGTCGGAAGTTTTGCGCAAGATAGCTTTGGGAACAAGACCGGTCCCGCAGCATTGCTACAAGGGCGTCGCCGTAAGCCCTAAACCCTGCAAGCCCTGTATACACCCTAAGCCCACAGGTTCTCAATGTGCCTTCTCCTGGCACAACTTGAAGAGTAGTGCCGAAACAGACAAGATCTTAATTACGGGGGACGAGGGCTTAACAAGGATCTTATATGGCATCATAAAGGCCTGTGTTACAGTGGATGTGGAACGTGGTAACGTAATGAATAGCTGCAGCATTCCAATCCGTCGAGTCCCTGAAACCCGAAAACTCAACCCACAATCCTAGGCCCGCCAGACCCCAAGGCTCCCGACACCCCCAGCCTCTGCAAAGCTGTGGGGACTTCGGAAGGCTCCACCACGACGACGCATTGAGTTGCACTTCTCGGGCCTTAGGGCTCTTGCTTTTGCGGAGTAGTAGTAGTAGTAGTCGTCGTCGTAGTAGTAGTAGTAGTAGTTGTAGGAGTAGCAGTAGCAGTAGCAGTAGTAGTAGTAGTAGTAGTAGTAGTAGCAGCAGCAGCAGCAGCAGCAGCAGCAGCAGCAGTAGCAGTAATAGACAACAGCGGCCGCTGCAGTAAGAGTAGCAGTAGCAGCTGCAGCAGCAGTAGCGTAGTCGTCGTCGTCGTCGTCGTCGCCGTCGTAGCAGTAGTCATGATCATAATAGTAGTAGTCGCATCTCCCCATGGTGGGGAGATTCCTAAACCCTAAACCTGGTGCTTGCTTTCACTAGGAACACTCCGGGTTTTGGGCCTTGGAGCTCCGTGTTCCCTTTCTCGGAAAAATTTAGGGTATACTTTAACTCTTACGAATCTGCCTTTCGAGGATTTGTATGATTCATTTGGGGTTTTCGTGGATTGGGTTTCCATTAATTGAAGACCCTGACCCCCCAAAACCCAGCACAGCCCCAACTCACAAACCCCCCCAACCCTAAACGACGACTGCTCAACCCGGAAACGGCGACCCTCAACCGGAAACTTCTCAGACCGCCAACCAAACTTTGCCGGATCCGCAGTCTGGACTGAGCCCCTGGTGCCGCCACGTCATATCACTAAGCTAATAAACTATAAACCGAAGCCTGCGTAGACCAGTTCGATGCCAAAGTGCCAATCCACCTCCAACCCTGTGAAATCTGCTCGACCCTTTGTTTGGTTGGAACTTCTGGGGCTTAAGGTTTGGCGCGTGGGTCATACAACTTTATGTAGGAACTTTCCCACTGCCCCGACAGTACGACTGTTGGAAACTTACCGAACGAAGGTCATTGGTGCGGCAAGTCGATCCATCGTCCCCCAAAGCCGAAATCGCAAAACCTCTGCACGAAACTTTCGAATAACTCCACCTCCGCCTCTCTCTCCCTCTCTCTCTGAAAGGCAGCCAGCCGTTTTGCCTCGACTAGGATTCATGGGTGCATGGCTGCAGGGCAGCATGTAGAACGCTTCCTTCCCAGGGGCTTGCAATGGGCGCGATGTGAGTGCATCTACGGTAACTACGGCTCACGAGCTCTGCAACTCCAGACCCGGTAACACCGGGACCTTCATCATCAGAACAGGATTTGGGGGACTATCTTGCAATGATTACGTACGGAGCATATCAGAGTTATACCTTCGCAGCCTTCAGAGCAAGTTCTATTAAAGAATGCCTTTTTATGAAAGGGACTCTGAGGGGATATTCCCGCTGATCCTTCAGCGTTACCCGATCAACTTTGCACCCTAATCGCTGGTGCGAAGGCCTTGAAATACGGAGCATAATGCTACTGTTAAGAATAAGAAAAGGCTGTGGGATAATTAGCAAAAAACACGGTCCACATCAGAAATAGCGCAGTATTCGGCTTTGCCGTCAAGGAAGGGCGTTCCGGGGTGTTTCCTACTCCTCGAACAGCCAACAAAAACGAAGCGTTTGCCTTCGGCGTAACTCAGAAGCCTAAAACTAAAACCGAGATCTGCTAAGCTTCGAGCCCAAATCGGTACACGTAGACCCACCTCAACGGAACCTCAACGTTTGGGCGTCTTCTGACCCGCATGCATAACAATTCCAGCCAGAAAGCCCCCGGCAGGAAGATTTGGGATGAGCTAGCTTTACTTAGATAAACTAAGATCCACACGGATGAACCTGAGAAAACATGGAGCTCTACAACTTAGCAAGCCCAAGACGGCATACGACCCATTGCTGAGAGGGCCTCTGTCGGCCTTACCCGAAACCCTACAAAACTTTGCATAGCCTTCCTTGTGACGTTGAGGAACTCGTAAAATGTAACACGTTTCACACACTGTATAGACTACGAAGCCCCACAATCAAACCCTAGCGGACCTTCGCAACAAGTCGCCAGACCGAATGTGACCGGCAGGTGGGGCACCAACTGAGCGTTTCGGGTGATTCTCGGCTTAGGGTCTCTACCCTAAGGCCTCCATGTAGTAGCAAGTTCGATCTGACAGGGGTTCCCCTAGAGCAGCTTTAAGGCCGATATATCACACCCATGTACACTATTGTTCCAGTTGCCTGCATCGAATTTCAATCGACGCATGGAAAGGAACAACCACGACTGAGTCTTGGCAGGCCTTAGGGATTCTTCATAGGGTTTTAAGGGCTTTGGGTGTGCACTTATCGGGCTTTCAGGGCGTTAGGTGCTTTAGGGGTTTAGGGCTCTGAGGGCTGGGCTTTTCGGATCTAGGGGTTTAGGCGTTATGTGGTTGGGAGGTGTTTCAGGGTTTAGCGGTTTAGTTTAAGGTTTTTTTGTTTACGCAGGGGTGGGTTTACGCCGGGGTGGGTTATAGGGGTTTAGGTATGCTGGCGGCTTAGCTTAGGGTTAGGGTCTAGGGCTTCGGGCTTTAGGGGTTATAGGTTTGGGGCGTAAGGGTTTAGGGTTTCCCGGGAGTGCCAGATGGCGTTTTTCAAACATCTAGATCACCTTTGCGGAGGCAACTTGTATGGCAAGGGTGTCTTTGAGTTGTTTGAGCCTTCCAAAGATTTGAAGGGTGTTCAGGGACTTGGAGAGGTTCAGGAGGCTTTTGCAGAGGTTTGTATGTGTTGTTGTTTTTTTTGCAACGGTTCCCTTACTGGCTCTTATCAGTGCTAAAATCCAGCTAAAGCCAATTCACGCAGGGTTGCTTGGAGGGTTCTACGCGGTTGTTAAAGAGGTTCGATGGGTGCTTAATAAAGCTTTTAGGATTCTATACTGGTTACGAGCAACTTGCACCAGTGGCCTATCTACGCGATCGATGGTATGGGCATCGGGGATCCTACTATAACTTAAGGTATGCGAGGTATACTCTTCCATGAAGGGATATTGGAAGGTCTGGGAAGTGTTGGTCAAATTCCAAACACCACCAACCCATTAAATTCCCCCGCTCACCAGCATTCAAAGAGCCACAGTTTCCGATGCAACTGAACTCAGGAGCCGTCACAACCCATGCCCTCAGCCGTTGTACTACCCAAATCGCGCCCTAAACACAATGTTGTACGTCACCTGTAAGGGTCCAAGGTACCCATTGATCAGGTACGTGTGTTTACCCAAAGAGTCCTAAGTACCTCTGTTTTTTGGGGGGATACTCATCCAAAACATGATCGGGAATCCGACTATAGGAACCAATCCCGCTCTGAAATCGGCGAAACAAATGTAGCCTAACGTCTGAACTCCCGGAACAACTAATAAGGGGGCTTGGTATTATGGCTTGAGGTATATTTCCTGGACCCAAACCCTATAAAGTAAATTCCTGAATAAAGGAACCCTCAAACCCGAAACCGAAAGCTTCAAACACCCGCAACCCTGAGGCCACGATCAATACACCCCGGTCAGACCACAAACAACTATGATAAGTTTGAGAGTTTACGGTTTAGGACACGGATCCGTTTATGACGGCCTTCCAAGAAAGCGAGCATCTCAATTTACGCTCTTCACTGAGCCTGGCATCGATCCGGATTGGCATCGTGTTTTGCTCGAGACCTTCGGGAATGGCCCCATAGCAGGCTGAGCAGCTTCCTGCACTTTGGTGACACTCTGTCGGTCTGCTTCAACACCAGCTCAGCAGAAGCTGGAATGTCTTCCTTGAGCTCCCGGATGTACTTCAGCGCTGTGGTGGAGGATTCCACGATCGCTTCCACTCGCCCCGCAGTCTGGCGCCGGCCACAAGCGCTTAGCAGCCGCTTTGCCACAATGTCGGCCCTGAGCCCACCAGGCTTCCAAAGAGCCCGTGAACAAACGCTCTATCTTAGCTGTCTTAACCCAAACTTAACTCATACAGTGGAAGGGAAGCAACCCTTAAGGACCTTTAAAGCAACCCTAAAGGACACCTTAACGCAACCCGTAAGGA